GACGGTAATGTAAGGCCATACGGTCTGCTACATATCTACCAACATTCTGGAGGAACATGATGCCACTGTCACCTATTCTACTCTGAAGATGGAGACCCTAAGGTCCTCAAATATGTTACCTACCTATCAGACCCCATAGAAAACCACAATTCTCACCACTATGAGAATCTCAAATAAAATACAAGCCAGAGAACTCTTCATCACATCTATTAACTTTCTCCACTAATTTCAGAGTAGATGCAATACAAGACATGTCTCTCTTGATCCAAACTCTGAACGCGCTGTTTCTCTTCCCATACAACCTATTATGAAAATCTATTTGTATCTCTTGCACACTGGCTGTAGGTTTGAGCATTAAAAAAGACTTGTCATTTTAACACACAACATAGCAGGAGGAAATGCCCATAACAATGAAAAATATGAATGTGTGATGGCACTACACATCGAACATTAGAAGTGCAAAATGCAAGCACAGCAGTCTCAACAGAAAGTTTTAAAACACCTTACAATGACAAATTTTGATCGAAAATGTAGTGTACAATGTGGTTTTAAATAGGTTTAAGTCTCATTATGTATATGTAGTAACTTTTAAATGAAGTTTTAAAGGAGTGTTGCATGCAAGACGGAATATCAGAGACATCTGTTAATTAATAAACAATGTGCAACAGGATGCTACAACATAACCCTAAAAAAGAGTGAGATATTTATAAAATTAATTCAATGGTTTTGAACAGTTTACTGCAGTCAAAAAGTTTGTTTCTCCATTTCAATGAAGGAAGGATCATCCAGATATGACTTCTTCATACTACTTCCCAAATCTCTCATCACATCTTGAACAAGAAAGAAACACTATGTAAGATTTGAGGCTTTCACGGCGGTGACTATGAAGAAAGAAACACGTCAGGATAATGTATGACCCTTAAATTACTAAGCACTTGGTATCATGCAAAATTCTTTTTAATGTTCAACATATTGTGGGGGGGTTTAACAACAGGCGGCAGGTTACACATCCATCTCAATTACAGAAGTTTAATTCACACAATAATCCTCATATTGTTTGGAATACACTGCATGATAAAAAATGTCACATATTGCTTAATTTTTTATGTATTTGTCCAGTGAAGCACGGGTTTTGTAGATCATGTGACAAACATACAGATCAATTAACAATTTAAAATTGCTTAAAGGAAATGTGAAACTTGTTCTGGACCCAACATTACCAGCCTCAAAATGGGTTTCAGTGTATCACCACATTCTTTTTGTCACAGTAATATCACTACATACTTTCATTTCATTGCAAAAGTTACTTACATACTTATCACATCTACAACACAGTAACGTCTTCACAAACCTCCCCCCCCCAACACACACACACAGTTACTGAATCATAATATTTCAAAGAAAATAAATGGGGGAAACAATACAAACAATAAAATTCAATCACCCAACATTTGAGGATTACTGATCAGCATAACGTTTAATTATTTAGAAAAGAATGAAAATCATAACATGATCTGAAATATTGCATATTTCAAACTAATGCCATATGTCAAGATTTAATTTATCTCGTGTACCTAACCACTGGGGAAGATGTCACTTTTTAGGATTTCTCAAAACAACAGACTGAAGTGTTGTGATCATACAATCCACACTGCAATTAATTGCAATTTTCATTATATACATCAAAAATAATTTAAGGTTGGCTAACCCAGCTGCACTATGGCCCTGGGTTTGACTCAGCCTCTAACAGAAATGAGTACCAGGAATTAATTAAATAATTTTCCTGGGGAGTGAAGCACAGCTGGCGCGTAAGGCTGACAACCTTACCGCCATCTCTGAGCTGATTGTATAGATAATGTGGGACCCTCAACATCTCACAACCCTATGGGCCTTCACAGCTTGGTACAGGGATAGCTTTACTTTTTTACCCGTGTTCTAGTGTGTGCACCAACACAGGGGCATGAACAGTATTATGTCTTCAGTTCGAGCCAAAGCAAGGTGTGCCTGTGAGAAAGGAAGGATTTAATATTCTGCACCTACCCTCAAACCAGGATCTGACTTGCAACCAATGGTAAAAACTGTTACACTGATTTAGGTTCATCACCGTAGCAAGTTAGAACCCTCCTAAGAGACAGTCTAACTACAGAGAGTGGTGATCTTGCCTTATGTGAACTACAGGTCCCATTGGTCCGGTGGTAAGGGTTACAAGGTGGGTAGACATGACTCTTTCATCATGCCAGGTAACCTGTCTAAGGGAAGGAAACATTGAATAAAATCCCTGGCCCTCCAAGAGGCTGGCAACTTGCTCAAGTAAGAAGAGAGTTACTCACAATCCTCATTGTTTCATGTTTGAGCACAGAAGGGGCTACCAAGCTCAACCTTTGCAGATGATGATGATGATGATGATGGTGGTGGTGGTGGTGGTGGTGGTGGTGGAGGAGGAGAATAATAACATGGTTCTTAGGATGGTGTAGAGGCAGGGTTCCTGATCACCATTCCTCCGAGTTTGACTGGGACAGGGAGTTCTTACAGAGATGGGATGAGGCAGTTCATGGACTAAGATGGAAGAAAGGAGATTTTAGATACACAAATGACAAGTCTGGAAGCAGGCAGCTGTTTCATTGCTCACAATAAGACACCTATATTAAGCGATCATTCTGTTGTGGTTAAGGTGTTTATTATTAGTGATTTGTGCTGTTCAACAAATAAGATTATCAGATTCAGAAGAGAACTGAACCTGGCTTGATTAGTCTTGAAACTGAGAGCCAAGATCTTCATCACCTAACTCAAGCAAGCAAGATCCCGTCCGAAGCCTACAGGCTTTTCTGTTTTGGTACGCAACGCACCACTTATACTCTGAGACTCATGCTCACTGACTAGTCTGGTGCCCTGTTAACCAGTCCACTCTCAAGACCATACACTACTCCAAGAACCACAAAGGGAATACATGAGGTTGCTGACAGATGAAGGTCAGTGACAACAAAGGTTGATTGCAGTGTATTATTACAAAATATCTCATACACCTGCATATATTTATGAGTTTAATGCACATTTCTCTATAATTAAGAGATATCCTAGATTTTAAGATACATGACACTAACAGTGATATCTTCATTTTAAGTCAACTCTTGATTTATTTGAATTTCTGCAATTTATTACATATCTATGATTAAAAAAACTGAACTCAAGAATCAACCCACACAAATATCACTGCAATAGCCCACCTTAATCCTGATCATTCCTTCTACTGGGACATTACTCTTAAATCACATACATGGATATTATGAAAGAAACATGGAAGTAACAGGAGTCACTATGGCATTAGAACATACAAAAACCTTTGAGGTTATGGCATAACCTACAAACATTAACACCCAAACACATGCCTGGAAAATTCAGAATTCTATGTTCATGTGATACAAAAACTAAACCATCATAATTAAAAAAGTGTATCTAAATGACTCCAATATTACATTCCAGATCAAGTTTGGAAGGCAAGAAAATGTAAGGCCATAGTCAATAAAATTATGCCATTTAGAATCTTAGAAACATGAGTGTTGCTTCTTTGTCCATTACTGAACTAACTATATAGAGTGCAGATCTATATAACTGCAGCATATTTTAAAGCACAGTAAGGCATCCTGGCATATGTATAACAATGTTTGGCAATATGCAATGCAGACTGCTAGAAAACATGCTACTCGAAATGTAATTCATTACTTAATGTGTAGAAATTGCACAGTTCACAAACTCTCTTCAATGAAAAAGAACTGTGACGTGTTCATTGAGAGATTTCCTATTGTCATTTCCTCAGATACTCATTCTATGCTCAAAAGGAAGGCAAACGAAATTAGTTGAAAATCCTACTCTCTCATATCTTGTTTTATATTGGTTTGAGAAAACCTAACAAAGTGACATTCAAAGCTGATTTAACATATTTGCCTTTCCAGATCTATAATCACAAAATAAGAACATATTTTTGAAACATGCAAGATGGACAAAGCCATGAGCACACACCATTTAATCATACTACTGTAGACTTAATAGAAAGGGAACTGGAACTTTCAGTAGAACAAGGACATTATGATTGCGGTTCTAATCCTGGTTTTTTGAAAAAATATCTGAAACATTCATTCTTCATAAAGCATTGTTTAACAGTAGGAAGATGCGGATAAATAAATTTAATAAAATAGTCAGAGAAGGCTGAAGCATATAGACCTAAGTCACTGTCCCTAATAAAACCATTTTCATTTCATTCATCCTTCTTTTGGGGGGAGAAAAAAAAAGATGTTAAGACTACATTTATTTCCATCTTCAGACAATTCACATAATATTAAATTATAAGTAGAATATAAACATAAACAAACTACAATTTTGGACTTACCTTAACTTTTAAATACAGTAAACTCTTGGTTATGCAGTATTCAAGCACCTAGAATTCTCATCCAACTGGCAAACATTTCAAGGAATATTTATCCTTTTTATGGAGTCATTCAAAAACAAATTTTTCATGTGCACATGTTCACCCCCATGTGGAAATTCTGCCAGCCATCACTTGCAGTGCTACCACCTGTCAATCTTCTTGCAGATACCATTACTGTAAAGGCTAGTTGAATTTGTGACTGCATTACAGTATATATATCTGAAATCTTTCATCCACCAATCATTAATCAGGTATGTTACCTAGCAAGACTGGAACTACAGCAGAAGAGATTCATTCTGATATATTGGGTTTTCGGACTTTATCCATCTTCCTGGTTTTTAAGATAACTAATAAAAACACGACGTTTCGGAAACTGGATCTGTTTCCGTCCTCAGGTGAAGGAAAACACCTATTCTGTTGGGTCCGTTAGAAAGAGCTAGCCTCAATCACTGGACGATTGAGTGATCCAGTGAGTGAGGCTAGCTCTTTCTAACGGACCCAACAGAATAGGTGTTTTCCTTCACCTGAGGACGGAAACAGATCCAGTTTCCGAAACGTCGTGTTTTTATTAGTTATCTTAAAAACCAGGACGATGGATAAAGTCCGAAAACCCAATATATCAGTGTGTTATACACCATCGTCAGAATCCTACAGTAACTACTAGATTCATTCTGACCCTGCATAAGAATTCTGCAGGTTTCTCTCATGGAATCAGCCAATTCATGTATCCAGCAGAATCCCTTTCCCCATACATGCTGAACAAGGGGGTTTACTGTACTTATTATAACAAAAAATATACCAGACTTGTATCTTTGAAGCTGAAATAAGAAAACAAATATTAAATTATACAATGTAAATGAACTGACAAAATTATCATGTAACAACATGGAATATTCAGTTGACTGTGTGCATTACTAACCTGCAGCTATCCACATTCCATCATACAGATAAAGAATCAAAACAAAACAGTTCAGATGAGCTCATGGTCAGCCCTGAGGTAGCATTTAGAGTTCTAAAATATAATCTACCTGCAAAGTGTGATAAGCAGGAACAGAAACTGAAAATGCACTACTCTGTTCATTAATACCTTATATTAAGTAACATCATTTTACAAATACAGTCACAGTAAACTACATTTCAGATACTGTGCTCTTCAATGATGGGGATAACAACTGCTGGAATGAAGACAGGAAGACAAAAAAAAAAAAAAAAAAACTTAAAAAATGAGATGACATATAATCACTTTCATGCTACATCATTAAAATTAATGTTGCACAAGTCTTAAAGTTTTCAAACACACACCTTTAGGGCAATCCTTTTCATATGACTGAGCATTTTTCAAAATAATTTGCAATTCATGACACGCATTACTTCAGGAAATGAAAGTGTGACATCCACAGAAAAGAAACAGAGTTTGATAAAATTTCATGCCACTTGATCTGTAGAATTGCAACTAACAATTACAGCAAGTGCAAATTCTCTAAATGCCACCTCAACACCCATAACACCGAAGTCACAGATACAGTGTATATAAAGGACTAGATAAACTGCTACAGAAATTAATTTCTCTTTCAGACCAAAAGCCTTTACACTGAGCAGTGCATTCAAATACCATTTTCTCAAGTATCAGCAATCTAATAAGAAATACATTAACTTGACACACAGGGTAAGGATTGCACACAAAGACAATAATCTCACAGATAACAGTTTCGCATTAAATTAAAATAGTGTCAAAAGCCAAAAAGTTGCATACAAATATTGCATCACATCATGACATGTTCTGTTAATGTTATATTAAAATATGTATAAGTTACCAAAAAAACAACACATGTCCATACTCATGAGGCAGGTTAATCTATAACAACTCAACTTGCCTATCAACAAGTGCAATGTTTGAGAATAAAATTTCTTAAATGTGTGAAATTAAGTAACTCACAACACAAGGACAAGAGTCTTTCAATTAGTTGGTGACTTCTGTGGACATTAATACTTCCAACTCTGTTATCTACATAATAAAGGGTCTATAAACATTGCATGATATTGGCATCAAGAGGATACAATATCCCTGGTATGCTACTGCAGTTTTCTCATTGATGCTGGTTCATATTTTTATATATTATATTAAGTATAACTAGCATAAATTATCACAACATTCTTTTAAGTCTAAGCACTTCTGCAGATGATATGAAAATAAAATGCCTATTTTCTACATTGGCATATGCTTTTATCATGTCACATGAAGCAGACAGCACCTCCTCCAGCAAGTCTAATGTCACATCTTGTGTACCCTGCAATATAATTCCTTTCTTCCCTTATCACACAGATTTATTTGTTACGATCACAGTTGCATTATTTCGGAGACTGCAGCTATGGTTCCAGATTCATCTCCACTGTGGTCAGTCCTGGTAATGTTGGATGATAACGGTGGTGCTGCCACCATCACCACCGCTGCCACCACCAACATCACTGCTGCCATACTTCTGCGCTCACAGTCGAGCACCTTATGCTGGCTCAGACAGGCTAGTTGGTCTCGTAACTTGTAAGCAAGGCTGCATCCACTGGCTCCATGCATGATGGACATGTGAAGCTTCTCATAAGCCAGTCATCAATACATTCCACATGATAGGTGTGCATGCAAGGCAAGTAGCGTATTGCATCGCCTACCATGAATTCGATCATGCAGATAACACACCTGCAGGCAATGAAAAAAAAAGTGTTGTTGGAAAAAATATTAGGAATGATATGTCTAGAATAAAGAAAGTTGGATACAGTCTTCTGTATTTAACTTCTGCATCATGTTATGTTTAGTAATTAAAAAATAATAACTATTATGTTTACCAGTGGAGGGCTCTTGTGAACACGGTACTGAACCTTCGGGTTCCATAAAATGCTGGGAAATTCTTGAGTAGCTGCAGAATTGGTGGATCCTCAAGAAGGGCTCAGCTCCCTGAGCATAACTATTAAGTTTACTTTCATAACTGCTCACACATTTCAAGGATGACATTTTACTGAAAACTACTATACTTTTCAATCTCTCAGGACATCAGCATGTGGTACACTATAAAATTTATTACTGAATTCTCATATCTTTCATAATTACTATATTAAAATAGGATTCAGTTCTGAATATTGTTCTACTGCATTACATATGCTTAAATTATTATTATCTCTTTTCCAAATAAAATCAATATAAGTAAGTAAAGTAAAGGTTTACCTGTAATAGGGGTCTCACATTTTCTAGACAATCGGCTCACAGATGGCAGCAAGGCCAGGGCCATGTCTAGAGGTAATGTTCCCACCTCATGACTCGTGGTACGCGGGTTCAAATACCCGGCGGAGGTCGTCAAATTTTTAAGGGCGGAAAAATTCAGGGAACAAGTCCTCCAGGAGGGACTTTAAGCTGTGTGTCCCGTGTCGTAACTTTATGGCACGTAAAGAACCTCATATCCCCAAAGGGGATCACTGAGCCAAATTCCAGGACGTTTCCCGCCCAACAATAGTCTCTAAGGCCTCTGATAGATGGGGGAAGCATTATAGACACCGCTAAGCAAGTGACCGAACTTGCTTGCTCGGCAGGACTGATGGTACGCACCATTTATCGGTAGGGTATAGAGACTGGTAGAATATAATAGAGGGAAGCACAATAGATCAAACTGGTCGCGGTGCACGGGGAAACCCACCCTCTCTAAAATAACTAACTAATAAATAACTAAGGCCAGGGCCATAGTGTGGCTGGAAGGATTAGGTCAATTGAAAAAAAATCCAATGACCTCATCAGGACTTAAACCCGCGACCTTCCGACTTGTAGCATAGTGCCTCAACCAACTACGCTACTGCATGCCCCACCCCCTTTGTTTAACAGACAATACTAAATTTCAGTACCCTTCTGGAATTGTGCACAGAAGCCTTGATTTTGAAGCAATGATTTCCCTTACCAATCAAACTAAAAAACAGGGTACTGAATTTGTGATGAGTTATAAGTGCATAAAAAATTTGGGGAAATAAAAATGAGACCTACTCCCTGTTCTTTTTACATCCTTCATATGTTCCTGCAGGAAGATGCTGAATCAATCCAATCCGTTTTGCAATTTTGACTTGTTCCTCTTCAGTCAGCTGTGCAGCAGGTCGGCACACGTTGGGGGACGGATAGTAGACTGGCATAGCCTCCTGAAATGCCCCAAATAATAAAAGTGAGACTAGCACAGGCAAGAGACGTTAAAATTACACAACTCACAAATACATTTTATTTATATGCTTGAGAGCTGGACACCTGAAAGATGAAATGAGAGCCGTCCAAGAACTGTGGGAAGAAGAAATATTAACCAAAATGGAAAAAACGCCAAGAAAAGATGGATGTCAAGATAGACTGAAATCAAGAATTTCAAAGAAATACAGATGTACACTATTTAAAAACCAGACATAAACATGACCTGCAAATGGCAAATGTTAATCTCACTAAATGTCAGGCAGGAGCACAATACACAGGTAATAAGTTATTCAGTAAACTCTTACACCTGAAATCAAAAGTTTATATCATGACATGAACGTAGTAAACCCTGCATAAAAAGATTACCTCTTAACTCATTCTCCCTACTCTGTAGATGATTTTACTTACTCACGCATGGAGCTGAGCCCCTCTGGAGGAGCCGCCAATTCAGCAGCTACTCAAGAATTTCCCAGCATTTTATGGAACCTGAAGGTTCATTACCGTGTTCACAAGAGCCCTCCACTGGTTCCTATCCTAAGCCAGATCTATCAAATCAATAACATCCCATCCTATCTCTCTAAGATCCATTCTAATATTGTCCACCCACCTACGCCTTGGTCTTCCTTGTGGTCTCTTTCCTTCTGGCTTTTCCACCAATATCCTATACGCATTCCTCGTCTCTCCCATTTGTGCTACATGACCTGCCCACCTCATCCTCCTTGACTTGATCATCCTAATTATACTTGGAGAAGAGTACAAGTTATGAAGCTCCTCATTATGCAGTTTTCTCCAACCTCCCGTCACTTCATCTCTCTTCGGTCCAAATATTCTCCTCAACACCCTGTTCACAAACACCCTCAGATGATTTTACTCACACCGAAAAATGTTAAGCTTTTTGTATCTCTGTGTGAAATAAGATTCTTGTTTGTAGTTCTCTTAAACATTTTTAAGCTGCATGTGTATCTATATGTGAAATATGTTTCTCTAGTTGTATTGACATGTTCTACATCTTTCAGTTTTGCTCAAAGAAGGACCTATGGAATGCAAAGAAATTCTCCTCTACTCCCCTCTAAGCCACTCAACTGATTGTTTTATATCTTGGTCACAAAACTTATTTGCATTCAGTTCTGCACGAAAGAAAAGTTCCTATAAAAATCATAATTTCATCTTATGATCTGGAGCAGAAAAAAAACACTTTGTAATACACCAGTTTCAAATGACATGCTAAAACACATTAAGACTGAAATTAAATACACTTAAAAGTTAGCACATGTAACTTACTTACTAATGGAGCTGTGCTCTTCTTGAGGATCTGCCAATTCTGCAGATACTCAAGAATTTCCCAGCATTTTATGGAACCCGAAGGTTCATTACCATGTTCACAAGATCCCTCCGCTGGTCCATATCCTGAGCCAGATCAATCAAATCCATACCACCCCATTCTATCTCTCTATGATCCATTTTAATATTATCCACCCACCTACACCTTGGTCTTCTGAGTGGTCTCTTTCCTTTGGCTTTCCCACCAATATCCTATACTAGCTTTTGCATTTATAGATGAAGCAACTATAACCAAAATTAAATCTTTTTGTTCATCAATGAGCTCCATTATGTACCACACAAACATAAAGCTGTACTCTAATAAGTGGCAATGTGTATCAGTGTATAAAGCAAACAGAGTTACATGGAAAAATTGGCAAATTGGGCATGGAAAATCAAGAACATATTGTTCAAGTCTGGTGCAATGGAAAAAAAGAAAAGACTGAGAACATGAAGGAAATATGTAACACGATAGTACCTTAAATTAGGCCATTACCATTTCCTTCCACATTCTAAGTCATTATTCACTAACCATCCTATTACTTCATGCTACATAATCTCAGAAATTGGAAGGATCATTAAATGAATCAAGAATGAATGATGAACACACCAAATTGACAGGAGCAGGGGCCTCAAATCTGTAGAGTACCAATATATCATTACTGAACTAACTAACTCCATGGAGCTGAGCCCTTCTTGAGAACCCACCAGTCACTCAGATACTCAAGAATTTCTCAAAATTTTATGGGATCCAAAGATTCATTACTGTGTTCACAAGTGCCCTCCAATGGTCCCTAAGCCAAGGCAGATGAATCCAGTCCATACCTGTCTTTACTGAACAGAATATTAATTAAAACCAAGAGAAGAGTCAATTAACAGATTAAATTAACAGTGGAGGGCTAACATAAAAGTGGCTTATACTTAAGAACATCACTGCTCTCCAACTGAAGAATTTGTTACCATTACACGAAGTATTTTTATGTACCGGGAAAAACAAGAATTTGTCATTTGGAAACTGAACTTCTTCAATAAGTCTGTATATAGTTCATCTATATATTACTTTACATCCTGTCATTTTAGTTTACAATTAGCTGCAAGCTTCAAACCAGACATGGTTACCTACTAGGCACCTACATTATTTTTTAATTTTTTATGGATTTACATTTGATACACAGACCATAAATATTTTCATCTATTATGATTGCAGAGACTCTTAAAACATGTTCTAGTAGTCAAGTGATGTAAAATGGTTTCAATAGTTTTAAAATTGTTGCATGTGAGTTCTTTATAAAAGGCTAGATCATTCATGAATTTTATACAGGAAGACAAAGAATTTCCACTGTTAAATTCAATTCAATTTTATTTCATCCATGACTCATTATACATGATATGGGACAAGTCAAAGAGTTAAAGTTAAAGAGTTCAGCCATTTTGTAAAATCTAAACTAAAATTCAATTTTACATAAGCTGGGAATGGAAGGAAGGCCTTTCGAACCTTATAAGAAGGGCTCATCAGCCTGGCTAGTAGAGGATAACTGACCTGTTACAATTAGTATTGTAAACAGAAATTATATTCAACACATCACTGTTACCTTAAATACTCTTATATAACAATGGAATACACAAAAGTAATCAGTATTACTGTATCATTCTTGTCAACTATAAGAAATTTCATTCTGTAATAAAATGTTAATATTAAGAGATATAATTAAGCATGTGAAAAGGAAACTACGTGCATACTGATAATTTTTTTCGCAGAACTATTGTGAGTATCCATTCTCTTACATCCACCAATTTGTTACATATGTAATGGTAGAAGTCATATGCTCACAGACAAAGCGTGCAGGAGACCCTAGAAGAGATACTCACTACAATTGAAAGTGAAAGCGGAAATGCTGAAGTGCAGTGGAACAATATAAAAGAATGCATGTTAGATACTATCAGTGATTTGGTTGGTAAAGTTGAGAAGATAGCAAGAAAACCATGGGTTACACAGGAGATGATGAGTAAAATGGAGGAGCAAAGGAAATGGAAGAATGTAAACAATGAAGAAGGCAGGAGGAAATACAGGAGACTGAGGAATGAATTGAAAAGAGCCAAGGACAGGGCCAAAAAGGAATATCTTGAGAAGATATGTAATGAGATTATGGAATTTCAAAGAACAGGCCGTTATGATTTGATGTACATGAAGACAAAAGAACTAGGATGGAAAGAGAATCATGGGATTCAAAATGTTGGCATCGAAGACTCCCAGGGGAATAGAATAGTAGATCAGAGGCAAGTGCTGAAAATTTGGGAAAAGTATATTACAGTATATGATCAATCTAACCAGCCAGAAACCTTGGAAGTGGAACCCGAAGAATAAGTAGATACAGAAGAATATTTTAAAAGTGAGGTGGAAAAAGCTATCAAGGACATGAGGAATGGAAAGGCTACAGGAGATGCTACAGATGCTGTACCTGGAGATGTGCTCAAGTTACTGGGAGAAGGTGGTTTGAAAACACTGACAAAACTAATGAACACCATATATGAAAGTGGAGAGTGGCCCAAGGACTTTACAGAAGTTACAATGATTGCCTTAAAGAAAAAGACAAAAGCTACAAAATGCAGCGACCATCGCACAATAAGTCTTATTGCACATACAGCAAAGATAATAGCAAAGATACTTAAAAGAAGAATTGAAAGGAAAATAGAGGATGTACTTGGAGAAGATCAGTTTGGATTTAGAAGAGGAAAAGGAACCAGGGATGCAATTGGGATGATGAGAATTATAGCGGAACGAACTTTGGAGATAGATGAAGAACTGTGTGTTTGCTTCATAGACTGGCAGAAGGCATTTGACCGGGTAAACTGGACCAAATTAATGCAGATCCTGAAAGAAACAGGTATCGATTGGCATGAAAGAAGATTGATTAGCAAATTGTACATGGATCAGAAAGTTAGAGTACGACTGGACAGGGGGGAGACAGGAAGTGTGCAGATTGGAAGAGGAGTTCGACAAGGATGCTGTTTATCACCAATTCTGTTCAACTTGTACAGCGAATGCCTTACCAAGGAAGCTCTGGATGGGCTCGGTGACTTCAAAGTAGGAGGGCAAATTATTCAAACTGTGAAATATGCAGATGACCTTGTGTTAATGGCTAAGGAAGAAACTGTGCTACAGGGCATGATTGATAGACTAATTGAAATTGGAAGGTGCTATGGCATGGAAATGAATGTGGAGAAAACAAAAGTAATGAAAATTTCGAGACAACCAACCACAGTCACAATAAAGATAGACCAAAAACAACTGGAGAATGTGAAATGTTTTAAATATTTGGGTAGCTTGTTAACAGATGATGGATGGTGCACTTGCGAAATTAAATCTAGGACTGCCATGGCAAAAGCTGCATTTAGCAAGAAGAAGAATCTTTTTACCAGCAAATTGGACTTAAATTTAAGAAAGAAACTAGTGAAATGCTACGTTTGGAGCATCGCTTAGTATGGGGCTGAAACTTGGACAATTAGGGCAGTAGATCAGAAATACCTGGAAAGCTTTGAAATGTATTGTTGTAGAAGGATGGAGAAGATCAGTTGGACTGATTATGTGAGAAATGAAGAAGTGTTATTTAGAGTCAGTGAGCAGAGGAATATCCTACATGAAATAAGAAAACGGAAGGCTAATTGGATTGGTCATATCTTACGCGGTAACTGCCCTCTAAAAAAAGCTATTGACGGAAAGGTAGAGGGGCGGACAGAAGTGACCAGAAGATGAGGAAGAAGACGTAAGAAGATGCTGGATGACCTTGGGGACAGAAGAGGATATTTTCATTTGAAGGAGAAAGCTCTAGATTGCATCATGTGGAGGAACTGTTCTGGAAGAAACTGTGGACCTGTCGTCTTGACAGATTACAGATGAATGTAATTGTACCATATTTACTTATATCATGTTTCAATGCTTAGTATATGGAAAAAAGCAACCTTTTGTATAAATTCTGTCATGCCAAATTTCACATAGCTTTCGTGATAATGGTTGTAACTTTCAAGGTTAATTCTGCAAATTGATCACAGTTATCTCGAGTTCCATCCACTGCTTATTTTGTTTCAATTTACTATCTCCTTATTTTTATACTACTGTCTCTCAACACCTTGAATTAAAATCTGTAAATACTGTTTTAGTTATGAAACAAAACAAAATTACCTGGTAAGGAGGCGGTGGACCCAGCTGATCAGAGGAAGACGAATCCCTTGTACCATCACTACCTCTCAATAGAGATATGTCATCAGCTGTAGAACCTTTCAGGCAGTTCCCCATTTCCTTTCTTACGCTGAAACTGACAAAGGAATGGCGAAACACCTCCCACCAACAGGACACATTTACTAACCAATGTAACAAGCTGACAAGATGCAAATGTGACCGTGCTGTACTATTGCTGTTTCATCTTGAAAGCTATAAAATTAGAACGACACCAGAATCATTTCACCTAATTTTGCCGATATGAATGGGTGCCCTATACTGAATGTTATCTTACGTTTCCAAAATAACAATTCATAATTTCAATGTGAGGCTATGTATCACGACCAAGTTTTCCTTAGCTAAAGCGGATTGATACAGGACACAAAGAAGTCAACACTAAATCACAACAAACACACCAGTCGACGACAGAAATGTATACACTTGCGCTCTAGCGGCACAGATTTACTCACTAATACAGTTCACTAACATTACGAAAATTACTATATGCCTAATATGCTGCCATCTGTCCAGTCAATCTGGCACTTTAGCACTCGAATATGTTAACGAACGGCACCCACGGACGACAATAGAAGCTCTAAAGAAGCCACAATTTTTAACTATGGAATAATATTGTCGCGTGTTGGCTGTGTGACGAGACAGATAACTTCACGCCGGTCTAGGATCTAGAGAATTTATTGCACACTTTTATCCATACTTACACAATTCACAATTTCAGTGTCCCAATTACTTCTTCTGCTATAGTCACTTCCATTGGTGCATTGAACCCCCTTACATAGACCTCTCGCGGACCACACAGAAAACAGCTTATATTGTTGGACGTGTTTACCAACCGATTTCTTAGCAACTCAATGTTGCGTGACGTCACAACCTAGCGTGGCGGGGTGTTTACCGAGCGTTGCGTAGTGACAGAATAAGTGGGGATAAGTGATGTCACTTGCAGAAACACAAAGTTCACGTGACCCATACTTCCTGTTGCGCTATCCAAGAGTTGTCACCTAGCAACGCGCTGATACAATCCGCAACTCTCCCTTTGCGAGCTTGACCCGAGGCCTCTGTGGCTAAACAGTTTCTGCACAGAGCGAATACCCCACAATGAGGATTCATAATAAAGGGTGTTATGCAACCCGTTTCTGAGGAGCAGCTCGGTAAACACGTCTCGCGTCAACAAATACGCGATCAACAATAGAATAGCGGTATTTTCTATGTGGCCCGTGCCTTGAAGTTATATCCGGGACACGTACCCTTGTGGAGACGGGGTCGAATACCTCCACCATGACCCTGAGAGTCGTAGGAAGCGACGAAAGGGGAAGTCTCAAATCTGAGACAATAAAATATAGTCGTGAGTCCCAAGGGACTCGGACCAGAAAAAGACTGCTCTGACAAGGACCAGTAGCGTTTAAAAAAAAACAGACCCATCCTCTCGTCAGAGTGGGTGCCCTACAAAAACAAGACCGTAACTGTCAAAGAGTGATAAAAATCTAGTCATGAGCCCCAAATTGGGCTCGAAACCAAGACTTACTGACTGACTGACCGTCAGTCGCAATGTGAATTTGACAATGAGAGCAGTCATAGGAGGGGACGGAAAGGGAACCAGTGTCTGGGCGTATAACTGGGCTACCATCTTTCTGAGTGATATAAATACGGGGATCCGGCCCTCCAGGTTGGGAGAGCCTCGAATATGAGAGAGTAAAGTATGGTTATGAGTCTCGAGGTACCCTTACCTTAGAATGACTGCCCTGGCAAGGGCCAGCAGGAATTATAAACGACAGACCCGTACTCTCGTCAGAGAGAATGTGACATAAAGACTACAACCACAAGTGTTCAGTTGACAAAAAATAATGGTAATGGGTCACTAGCAGCTTGGCGCAAGTAGTAAAGTAATTCTGAATCTGATGAGTTCAGTTGAGTCCTGCACGGGAGGATGTGAAGATAGGACCTGGGTGCGTGAAGCTGAAGACTCTCCAGCGTTACAAACCGTTTCCAGGGGACGGCTGGTGAAGATACAACAGGCCATAAATGGCTTAGCGGATGCTGTTGTGGTTTATGAACTGTGGGGATTAGTGGTGACTCATAACGGTTCCAAAAAACCCAGAAACTTGGTTCTAGTATAGTTGCATCTGAATTCCGTTAGATGGATGCAGAGGATGACATCTGGTTCAATTTCTAGCTGGAGTATTGGCTGTGAGCAAGGGTTTTAGTATCTTCAGGTGGATGCTGGGAGACCGCCATAAACTATTCAGCAAATACTTGTTCCTCATTCCTTTCCAGACCATTGTATTCTAGTCTCTACACTTGCAATCAGGAGATATCCAGGTTGAATCTTAGCCACATTACCAGCTATCCTTATCGCAGTTCAAATGATTCTCTTAATTTTTCAGTTTAGTGAATCCCTGCATTGTAACAAGGTTTGACTACCATCTTTCAAAATATTACCTTCCCACCAGTCAAAATAATCCTTCCAACTCTTTTGATTTTAAAGTACTGCAGCTGATACAGTGCTGATACATGAAATGTGATTATATAATGAGCAGTTAAATGAAAACTGGTCACCACGCATAATTCACAAGGCACGAAAGTTGGTAACACTGGAATTTGCTTACGGTACGAACATCTGGTGGGGACTCGGGAAAGAACAGTGACAACTTGTCTTTGCACGCTAGTTGTTTGTTTATTGTGCTGGAAGTAAGGTTAGCGCTACGTGTGGTCGTCCAACGTCAGTAATGGAGGCGGGTAAAGAAGAACAGCGAAGTGTAGTGCGCTTTTTGACTGCTGAAGGAGTAGGAGGACGAGAAATTCATCGTTGCATATCTGTTGTTTACGGCGAACACAGCATGTCACGTTCGCGTGGGCTGGCGTGGCATAAGAGATTCCGAGGAGGGACGTGTGTCACTGCAAGATGATGCTCGCCCAGGACAGGCTCATCGTGTCATCACTCCTGATGTTATTGCTGCGTTGGATGGTCATATTCGGCAAACCGACGGATCACTGTGGAAGAAATTAGTCTTTTTATAGGAATAAGTCACGGTTCCACGCACATCATTGTAACAAAACACCTGCTGTACAGAAAAATCTGCGCGCAATATTTTCCACATCAACTCACGGAGGAACAGAAGACTCAGAGTGCCTGCATCACTGGGTCACTTATAACGACACCATGAGGAAGAGTATGTTTTCTGTCCCATATTGCCACTGGGGAAAAACTTGGTGCCACCATTTTACCCGAGAGCAAACGGCATCAGAGCTAACATTGGAAACGGGTGAATTCTCCCCCACCGAAGAAATGTAAAGCCGTGCACGCAAGTTCCGGTAAAGTGGTGATGACGTTCTTCTTCGACTGCAAGGGCCCTGTGCTTGTCGAATGTTCGTTAATATATTTTGGCTTCTGACCCGTTTTAATTTGACTGCCCCTCATACATGCCATATTAAATAAATCTGCTTTGTAAATGGTGTACACTTAGATTTTGATAAATGCTATGTTTTGATTTTGACTAACATTTAAAGCAGGGCCGCGCCATAGCTCAAGCGGTTAGTCGCTGGCTTCTCACCGCGGCGGCCCGTGTTTGACCCGGGTCTGATCAAGTGGGATTTGTGGTGAACAAAGTGGCTCTGGGCAGGTTTTCTCCGATTACTTCGGTTTCCTCTGCCAATCTTCATTCCACCAATTGCTCCACAATCACCCTCACCTATCATCTGGGACTGGTACAATAGGCCAGAAGTGGCCGCAGTACAAGGGACTTAGACCCACCTCACTAGCAATAAAAAATAAATAAAAGTACATTAAAAATATCTGAACTCCAGTGCTGATAAAACACAAAATATAGCCTTTATCAGGGCTTTGAGCGTAAATCTAATTTGGGCATGTGGAGTTCGAATCTTAGTTTCAATTAGGTTAAACAATTTGGGCGATACTCGAAATGCAACATTATATACGTCCATGGTTAAGGGAAACTTCTCGTATTATTCTATAAGGTCCTTGACTGGAAAATTTGTGTATGCGTAACGCCACGACCATTGCTGCAAAGAAACTTCGCGGTGCTTGAAGGCTGTGATACTAGGTGGCAGGGAACGACAGTTCCACCTTACGCGATTTCGTTACAATCGATAATGTAGATACTCCTTTTTGTTGATGGCCATCTTTTGGTAGCGATCTGGAGCGGGATGTGACCGCAAACGAGGTCAACACTAGCCCGTGGCAAATGAATGTTATTGGCTGTTAAAAATAGTCGCCGTGACTTATGCCACCTCTATATGAAGCTGAAAGTCTGTGGTTACAAAATGGCCGCCACCAGTGCCGAGAATACGGTCGGTAAGAAGGTATGATATCGTACCACCAGCCTATGTGTACTTTCCCCAACTCCACATTCACTAGTTCACAAGACTTACTTACTCATGGAGATGAACCCTTCTGGAGGAGCAGCCAATTCTGCAGCTACTCAAGAATTCCCCAGCATTTTATGGGAACCGAAGGTTCATCACCGTGTTCACAAGAGCCCTCCACCGGTACCTATCCTGAGCCAGATCTATCCAATCCATACCATACAATCCTATCTCTCTAAGATCCATTTTAATATTGTCCACCCACCTACACCTTGGTATTCCCTGTGGTCTCTTTCCTTCCAGCTTTCCCACCAATATCCTATATGCAGTCCTCTTCTCTCCCATTTGTGCTACATGACCTGCCCACCTCATCCTCCTTGACTTGATCATTCTAATTATACTTGGAGAAGAGTACAAGTTATGAAGCTCCTCATTATGCAGTTTTCTCCAACCTCCTGTCACCTCATCTCTCTTCGGTCCAAATATTTTCCTCAACACCCTGTTCTCAAACACCCTCAGTCTATGTTCCTTCCTTAATGTCAGAGACCAAGTTTCACACCCATACAGAACCACAGGCAAAATTATACTTTTGTATATTCTAATTTTTATGTTTTTGGATAACAGACGAGAAGACAAAAGATTCCGGACTGAACGGTAGCAAGTATTACCCAAGTTCAATGGCTTCTTAATTTCCTCCTGAAATCAGGTTTCGATCTGTTATCATTGTTCCAAAATATCTGAACTTTGCCACATTTTTAAAACATTTGTTTCATATCTTTATGTCATGATTTTGCCCTGCATTTTGGTGATGAGACAGTAACATATACTTAGTTTTCTCAGTGTTTTCTTCTAGACCAACCTCTTTACTTGCGTCAATAAAAGTTTATGTGCTTTTCTTTATGGTATCTACATTATCACCAAGTAGATTCACGTGCCGAGGGGACCTAATATGGATTCCACCTCACACTATGAGAAATCTTAACTATTGTAATCTCCTGTAATCTATTGTAAACAATTTTAAGTATTGTAACTTTATTCTCTTATTGTAATCAGCCAATGTACAGTAACAGACTTGTCCTATATCATGTAACAATGATCTATAGAGACGATATAAATACATACATACATACATACATACTCGTACATAC